CTAAATAAAAGGTATAGTGGATAAAACTCTTTCATGTTTTGAGATCTGGGGTGTAAATCTTTTCCATTGTCATTACTTACCTACTTGTATCAATAAACATTCTGCATGAAACTGATATTTACAAACACTAATATCTACATAAATGGATTATTTGATAAGTTTTTATCAAAAAAGTTATTTATCTTTGATTTCACTTAAGACTCCCAGATGACTTGCAGAGACACATAAGTTTCTCTTTACCCCATATAACACAAAATCTAGCTCTGAAAAGAGCATGTATTCTATATTTATTATCTTTGATGTTAGTATATCGATGTGTATATTTACCCACAAAAAATAAAATGTTCTGAATATTCCATTTGACCATCTGTATTAGAGGGGAAAATGGTAGTGGTGGCCACAGGGGTGGCCAAAGATTGGCTTAGGGTAGCCATAGCCACCCATGGCCCCCCATCCAGCTCTGCCCCTTTTAGACAATAACTCACACAGACAAAGAGTTAAACAAATCGGTAGATTTCAACATAAGAGGAGAGGATGCATTAATGGATCATACGGGTATTTAATGTGATTTCGATTTCATAAAGTGCAGCGGTTATCAATGTAAACGATGAAGGGAAAAGAAAAAAAACAGGCATCGATGTGGAAGTTATGAGCAGTGTAAAAAATGTATATATTGTGCAAAAATGTAGTAAAAAAAAAAAAACATTTCTGAGTTGGTTTGGTGTTATCAGTTGGCTCGATTTGTGACTTGATTTATTTTTTTTTCCAACAAAAAAGGACTTGGCTCTTTTAACAGTAGAACAAGTCTTTGCTGATTAACACGTCCTGCTTCTGAGATTACATTTAATGTAATTAATGTTTAAATTAAAATCTAAACATCGTTATTGTTTTGTATTAAATCTAACCTAAGGCGGGAATCTGTCCACTGGTTCAAATAAAAGAACCGGCGTATTGAGTCGGCTCGGTTGCGCACCGCACATCATGCGCTTCCTGTTCACGTACCTCTTACGTGCCTCACTAGCTCCGCCCACGCCCGGTCTGTGTTATGAAAGCAGAGCGGTGGGAATGACAACGGAGTCACAGCAACAAAGCCCCCTGAAATCTGGTAAATGAACCCACTTTATTGTTCATTTTATGCCTCATAACAAAGCGTATCTATGTGTGTTTTTCTATCTGCTGCTGTTCTATTCACTCATGTTGGTGTTGTGGCTCTGCAGCGGTGGCCTGCTGTTGTCATGGCTTTATATACATAACAGACACATGTAACATCACATGTGGAGGGCAGCAGTGACAGCTGCTATCAGTGCACTTCATTTTCTTCTTTATCATCTTTTTGTCACTTTAAATAAAAATATGCATATTGGAAACACAATCAAGTTGTTTGCACCTCATATACTGTGTGTATATATAGGTTTTAAGAAAATAGCAAAAAGTTATTTACATTTTTAAAGATGCTTTAATGCGACTCAAACCCTTTCTACATTTTTATTTTTAGTACTGATCTATTTATTCTCCTCCTGATTTTTTTCTTACCAGCTTCCCTATCTGTGTTGTTTAAATCTCCCCCCACAGCATGATGCTCCCAGCACCATGCTTCACTCTGGATATTATATGTAAAAAATGATCCATTGGTTTTTGACCACATGGCATTTTGCTGTAATTATTAGACTTGTGAGCAACATGAGGAACTATGAAGATCAGCTTTTGTTAAGGTTTCTTTTTGTGTTCTGTGCAGAGATCCACTGCAATGCTACGCGTCACCGCTGCATCTCTGTGCTCCTCTGGCCAGAAGATGAGGATGCTCCTGCCTCCTTTTGCCTCTCTCACCTCTACTGTGGCCTCCCACAATAAAAGGGAGGAAAACCAGAGCACGGTTGACTCTCTGTACGAGCTGTCGGTGGACGTGAGGAAGATCCGTAAGCTGAAGGGCTGGGTTTTGTCTGAGACCACTGTTTATGTGTCCGATACAGCCGCCTTGCTGAGGGACATGGGCGCAGACACGGCGGCGATCGCCCACATCCTTGAAACCCACCCAGAGGCCGTTCTGATTCCACCGGAGGACGTGGTGGCCCAGCGGGACCTCTGGGGGTCCGTGTGCTCCAACCAGCGGGCCCTTCTGAGCATCGTTGAAAAGTTCCCGGCTTCCTTTTTCTCTGTAAGCCACCACAGCAACCAACAGGCCAACATCCTGTACCTCCAGAGCCTCCGCCTCAATAAGAAGATAATCAGCAAGCTGATGGCCAGCGCGCCGCAGAGTTTCAGTCAGCCCGTGGAGCGCAACCAGGAGGTGATACACACCCTCAGAGAGACCTACTTGGACTTGGGTGGGGATGAGGCTAATCTCCGGGTTTGGCTGCAGAAGCTCCTCAGTCAGAACCCGTACATTCTCCTGCGTCCAGCTGAGGCCTGGAGGGACAGTCTGGGCTTCCTCAGGGAGCAGGGCTTCACCACCGAGGAGCTCCTCAACCTGGTGTCCAGCCTCAGAGCCTCCATCTCAGAGCTGAAGCCTGAAGCCATGCAGCAGGCGCTGGCCTACGTCCAGGGCGCTCTCAGCTGCTCCGACGATGAACTAAAGCAGGTAGTGATCCGCTGCCCGGCCGTTTTATACTACTCATTGCCCACCTTGGCAGGACGCTTCCAGGGGCTTTTGGACGCCGGCCTGAGCGTCCGGCAGGTGAAGGAATCCCCGAACGTCCTGGAGCTCACCACGCAGATCGTGCTCTATCGCATCCAGAAGCTTGCGTCTTACGGATATGACGTGTGCTCTGGCAGCTTGGACGTAATCGTAGGAACCAAGAAGGACTTTGAAATGAGCTACGCCAAGCTTAACCTCAGGCAGCAGAGGCCTCTCTTTAACCCCGTCGCTCCTCTTCGGACTGCTGAGGAATGAAGATCAGAGCTACAGACAGAATGGAAACGCTAATAACCTTTGGTTTATTGATGCTCATATTCTTAAGTTATTCAAATCTCACAGGAATCTGGAATGATCTGCATTGATAGGAATTAACACTTGACTTACTCAGCATTTCTGGGACCGTGCCTTATTTAGGCCTGCATAGTTCAGACATACTGTATGTTTCATTTCATTTCTAAACATCAAACCAAATATACAGTGCCTTGCAAGATTATCTATCCGTTCCGTTTTTTTCACGTCACATTTTTATTTCATTTCATTGTTTATGTGGGAAACATAGGGCATGATATTGAAGTGGGACAGGATTGATGCATTTTTTTTGACATTTTTTATTCATGTGCAGGGCCATTTACTTAGATAAGACCAAGGCTTCAACTGTTACGTAAAGAACGATCCAGAAGTTGTTTTTTTTCCTTCCACTTCCCAATTATGCTGATTATTTTGGTATTTCACATAAAATCCCACCCAGTCATATTTTTATCTTGCAACCCGGTTATGTTGCAAACTGCATCTCCTACTGTATAACCTTGTAATAATTGTGGGACTGACATGTCTAAGACACTCTGCATATCTGCAGTCTCCAATAAATAACACTAATTCAAATCATTCTGCACGCCGTATTTCTGATATTCACCTTTCAGGTTCTTATGTGACATGCATAAGGTATTTAGACAACATTTTCCGTCTTTGAACTTCCTAAATAATCTAAATCTATACCTTAGCTAAAACTCTTTCTCAGCCTTTGCAGATTTATTAACGTCTCTCCTGCCAAAGTTGAGTAAGCTCTGCACTGGTGGCATTATGATTTTAGGGATTCTGTTCTTTGAAAACTCTTCTTTAAGCTGCAATAAAACAATTTGGAGATTTTTTTTTATTTAAACGTAAAGCAAAGATGGCTGCCTGCTTTTCTTTGGAGTCTTTAGCAGGTTCTCAAAATGGTCAATTTATCCAAAACAAATTATATTTTTACCTGTATAAAGTTCAACCCTTGAGATGAAAAAAAGGACTCGTTAACTAAAATGCATTGAAACAATAACCTAAAACTATGAAATCAACACAAAAGGTGCAACTAAAAGGTTAACAAACTGCCTGAACTTTTATCCATGTTTGATTAATGGTTATAATTGCTGGAATTTTAGGTTGCAAAACATTTTTGCATATAATAATACGAATCAAATGCTATCTCTGAACTCCTATGTGCAGGTTGATTATATTCAAATGAATTCACCATTATCCAGTCCGTGGTACACTCATTTATTAGGGATTTTACAGAGAAATCACTGATGGAAAAGTTTTTAGTCTGTTTGCCAAAAAATAAAACTACAAAAAAAAAGGAAAACAGGATGGTTGTTCATTTCGCCATCACACTGGAAAGGAACGCAACACGTCCACAAGTACTGAGATCAACCAAAACACTTTTGCTTGAAAGTTTACGACAGATGGCTCAACAAAGATCAAACTTTGGGGAAAATGATGGTTAGCAAACAAAAAAGCTTTCTCAGCATTCTTTTTTTTTGTTCTAAGGACAGCCTTAGATTTTTTTTTTATTTACTGAGAACTATCAAAAAAAAAAAAAAAATCCATCCATATTAATTTCTCATATCAAAAATATATCAATGGGTTTATGGCTACACAAGGAGAGAAAACATACATTAAAATATCCAAATATGTACAAGTCGTGTGAGCTGCAATTAGCAAATTCATTATATACACAAGGATGTTTGTCGCTGTCGATATCGACCCGAGGATGGGCAGAGTGAGTCAGCGCTGCCCGGGAAGTGCAGTCCTCATCAGAGTCCACAGTCTGTTTAATGGGGGACGTGTGTGAGTGCATTCAATCATCCTGAAGGTGCGTTCATGCAACACAGCAGTGCTGTAGGTTAACCTCATAGTCCTTTAGTGTCTGCTTTGATTTGGCTGAAGGAGAACAAACAGAAACACCTGAAATAAAAGAAAAATAAATAGATAAATATCCCTTTTTCAGGTGAATTGAACCCATTTTTACCATCAGTACTTATTTTCAGTTATTGAACATGTTTAGGTATTTGGAGAACAATTTAGGAGTAGAAGAGTTTGTCACTAACTCTTAATGGTTGCTCTGCCTCTGGACTTTCGATCCTCTGCTGTGGCCAGAGTCCTCGTTGTGCCGTTTCCCACCGGTATGTGTGACGGGAAAGTGCTCAGGCCCTTAAAGCAAACAAACATCTGAGGTTTAGAAAAGAGAAGTATGATTCCGCTCTGCTCTATTAAAAAAACAATGCTTTAAAATAATTATCCCCTTATGGATGGGTGAAGCTAATTAGCTGTCTAAAAACAGCCAAGTACTAAGGAAACTATATAATAAACTTTTAATATAATTAAGTTATTAGCTGATAAACTCTGTAGAATTTCTTAATCTGAAATAGGTTGTACAATAAAAACATATTAATAAAGGTTTATTAATGACCTTTACAGCAGATATGCAAGAATGGAAAACATCTGACCAAAAGTTCCTAAAATCCTTTTGGATTTTTACTTTGAAGAAATAAAGCTTAGTAAGACTAATATGTTTAATTCAGATAAGATTGTAGAAAATGTCTGTTACATTATGCGAAAATGAATCTAATGATGACTTCAATTTAGGAAATCAATAATGATGCATTAATAATTAATACTATTTCATACAACAGTAAAATATCATAAAAAATGAGATAATAACTCTTAGGACCTCAGAGTAAAATAATTATTTATCATTTAACTAGATTTGAAACGCTGAGTGACAAAAAAAGCAAAGGTCGTCAAAAAACAAATGTTTTGATTACATCTTATTTTTTATTACAAAAAAGGTTTATCAGCTAAAATCTGATATATATTAATTATATATATTCATTAAAAACTAAAGATTGTTGAAAAACACGTCAGATCATTTCTTATGCTGTTAAACCTCTAACACAGTTTTCTTATAGCGCAGAAAGAGCTAGCAGCTTTTGGAACGTGTAGCAGATCAACTTTCCAAGAATTGTGTCAATTTGAAATGCTATGATAAGGAAGTAATGCTTGTTCAAAAACAAAGTTTTAAATTATGTATTAGCAAAAGAGCATTGATAAATATTTATACTCATATTAGGGCTGGGAGATAAACCAGATTTTTACTGTTACCGTTATTCACTATGATAACCGCAGATAATTTTCCTGTCGGTAAAATAATAAATAAAATAAAAAAATAACTTAATTCTGCCATTTTTTTCCAATGTGTGCTGGCAGCTTGTACACTATATTGCCAAAAGTATTTGCTCACCCATCCAAATTATTGGAATCAGGTGTTCCAATCACTTCCATGGCCACAGGTGTATAAATTCAAGCACCTAGGCATGCAGACTGTTTTTACAAACATTTGTGAAAGAATGGGTCGCTCTCAGGAGCTCAGTGAATTCCAGCGTGGAACTGTGATAGGATGCCACCTGTGCAACAAATCCAGTCGTGAAATTTCCTCGCTCCTAAATATTCCACAGTCAACTGTCAGCTGTATTATAAGAAAATGGAAGTGTTTGGGAACGACAGCAACTCAGCCACGAAGAGGTAGGCCACGTAAACTGACGGAGCGGGGTCAGCGGATGCTGACGCGCATAGTGCGAAGAGGTCGCCAACTTTCTGCAGAGTCAATCACTACAGACCTCCAAACTTCATGTGGCCTTCAGATTAGCTCAAGAACAGTGCGCAGAGAGCTTCATGGAATGGGTTTCCATGGTCGAGCAGCTGCATCCAAGCCATACATCACCAAGTGCAATGCAAAGCGTCGGATGCGGTGGTGTAAAGCACGCCGCCACTGGACTCTAGAGCAGTGGAGACGCGTTCTCTGGAGTGACGAATCGCGCTTCTCCATCTGGCAATCTGATGGACGGGTCTGGGTTTGGCGGTTGCCAGGAGAACGGTACTTGTCTGACTGCATTGTGCCAAGTGTAAAGTTTGGTGGAGGGGGGATTATGGTGTGGGGTTGTTTTTCAGGAGCTGGGCTTGGCCCCTTAGTTCCAGTGAAAGGAACTCTGAATGCTTCAGCATACCAAGACATTTTGGACAATTCCATGCTCCCAACTTTGTGGGAACAGTTTGGAGCTGGCCCCTTCCTCTTCCAACATGACTGTGCACCAGTGCACAAAGCAAGGTCCATAAAGACATGGATGACAGAGTCTGGTGTGGATGAACTTGACTGGCCTGCACAGAGTCCTGACCTCAACCCGATAGAACACCTTTGGGATGAATTAGAGCGGAGACTGAGAGCCAGGCCTTCTCGTCCAACATCAGTGTGCGACCTCACAAATGCGCTTCTGGAAGAATGGTCAAAAATTCCCATAAACACACTCCTAAACCTTGTGGACAGCCTTCCCAGAAGAGTTGAAGCTGTTCTAGCTGCAAAGGGTGGACCGACGTCATATTGAACCCTATGGATTAGGAACGGGATGTCACTTAAGCTCATATGTGAGTCAAGGCAGGTGAGCAAATACTTTTGGCAATATAGTGTATTTCTTTCCCCTTTAAGATACTGCAGCAGGTGTCTAATCCAGTGATTCCACCGATCCAGTCCGACTCGTTAACTAAGAGAATGGCGGCTGAGCCCAGTGAAGAAAAGTCTTATGCTACGTTCAGGCCGCAAGCCCTGGAAACTGCAGGCACCAGAATAATAAAACAAATTCTGCAGGCAGGTTTCAACATTTTAAATTAATATAGCCGTTAATAAAATGTTTCAGAGGAGTGATCATAGCGCTTTGCATCAAAAGTGTTGTGTCCGTCTCCCTGGCAGCTCCCAGATCAGCTTCTCTGATTGGTTAATGTGGCGCATTGAGGAGCAGAAGTAACAATTTTTGAACTCCAGCAGCTGCTGATTTCATAGCGCTGCTCCTGCTGCTCACAATTGACTTTGCACACAAACTAGCTGTTTCTGCTGCCTCTAGCGCGTGCGTTCTTAACGTAGCATGACACAACTGTAAACAGAATTACATCAGTTAATCCTGTGGAGCAGAGATGAAGCTGAGCGCGCAAAGAAGAAATCTAGAGCGTGTTCGGGTGACACCGAAATGTCACCATAAATGTTGAGCAAAAGAACATGAAATGCAAAGTCTGTCTGAAAAACGGTCAAGACCACTTAAAGTAACACATCCAACCTCCACCACCTGCAGCACAGCCACATGCTGAGTTCAATGACGTGCAAAAGGCTCCATTACCTTTGCGCAAAACTGTTTGCAAGAGAGGAAACATTTTTCTCAACGTCTCATTTTTAAATGAGACATCGTTGGATGTTTAAACGTGAATGGGTACCACTTTATTTTATTGAAAGTGGTATATAATGTGATTTATTCGACAAATAATTTATAAATAGATTAGTTTCATTTCCTGCATATGTCTTTATTTCTGATAGCGAAGCCGGAGCATTTATCGTGCAGTTATTGTTATCGAGGTAAAACTGCCCAATTTATATAGAAAAGTGTTAAATTGTTCCTTGGATGCCTAGTGTCGCTAATTAGCCTCATACCTAAATTTGTACTAGTTATAGGTGCAATGATGAATTTAATCATCTCTAATCTAAAATCTGATTTACAGCAAGCAACACATATGACATGTTTTTTAATAAGACTCGGTATAAATAAAGGGGTTATAGGTATGTAAATCAGAGATTTAATTTGCACCTTTTTGCAGTGCAGGACTTGAGATCTGTGGGTAACACATCATGCTGGTAGTGGGAGCATAACTGGGAACTTTAGAAAGACAAGAGGAGATGATTAGCTTGACAGATAATAATAAAAAGGATTAAATAAAGTTTGTGTCGTGCCTACCCTGCTTATGTGTGCTGCCCTGAGGATCCCCCTGGAGGTACATCAACATACCACTTTGCCAGTCTCCCTGTGAATGGGCCGGCAGCTGATAGGCTGAAAAGTTAAAGAAAACAACCCAACGTGTGAATTTAGGCTTAAGTTGTGATAAATGATACAAACAGAACCGGGTTTTAATGATGTCTCTGCCTGAAGCCTGAGAGAAGAGGAGATCTTGTTTCTCTTACCTGCTGGAGATGCAGCCTGTGGTGAAGGATTGATGGAGAACGCCATCCCATCTGAGGACGCCTCATTGTTGCCGTTACCGTTGGAGTTGGATGGAACTGTAGCCAGAAGGCCTGATGGGAAAATAGAGTGATGACATCAAACCAAATGATGATACTAAAGTTTGAGGCTTTTTCATTCAAACGGATTTAGTTATCAAAGATAAACATTAGCTATGAACGAAAATCTAGAGAAACGACTAAAGTTGAGGTGTGTGTCGTTACCGAAGCCTCTGTAACAGGAGAGCTGCTGGTAGATCTGCTTCATTCGCTCGATGTTGATGCAGCTGGCCTCAGCGTGATTCACCATGGGCTTCGGATAATGTACGCCGATGATGCATTTGGCAGCTTTCTGCACGGCCTCCGGAGCGTTCCATGGGTCGTAAATGTACTTGGCTGGAAACCCTCTGAGGATGGGCAGGTAGCGCCTGAGAGAGGAGGAAGGAGAGCGTCGTTATTCAACTGTGGCCACACCACTACTGAACTGTGTGACTTCTTTATGAAACCAAACGGATGAAAGGAAACCGATTGAACTAAAATAATCTACATTGTTTGGAAAGATCAAACGTTACCGTATGTAATCTCCGTTGGGGTCGGTACGCCGGCCGAACCCCACTGGACAGTAGCAGTGGAAGAACTGCTGGAAAAAGGAGCTGCAGGAAAGCCACATCCAGCTGCCTGCGTTGACGCTCCAGTCTGCATCCAGGAGCAGCTCCTCAAACACCTGACGACAACCCAAACAATTAGAAATGGTTCACAGAAGCCCCTCTTAAACACAAAAACGTAGAATCCGTCTCATCTACCTTCATGCCCTCCTCCCAGCTGATCCACAGGTCTCCTCTGGTCAGGAAACAGGCCACGGCGTGCCGGGCCAGGTGGTGGATCCAGCCCTCCTGCCTCAGCTGGGTCATAATGGCGTCGATCCAGGGGAAACCAGTCCGGCCTTCAGCCCACTTAGCCAGCGCCTCTGGGTTGCGGTCCCATGGGATCTGAACACAGATGGGGTTGCTCTCCATCTTGTCGAAGCAGGGGTTGTTAGTTGCCGCCGTGTAGAAGAACTCGCGCCACAGCAGCTGGCCGTAAAGCGACAGAGGAGGGGAGCTGTTCTTCTTCACCTGGAGTCAGACATCAGGATTAGTTTAAAGGCCAACTTCATACCCATCGCCATGTTTCTGTCTTGTATTACCCCACTGTCGCCACATGTTTGCTCAGATTGAGGGATTGCGGCAAAGTCTGGTTAGAATTTTTACCCATTTGCTTTAAATAATCACCTTTATTTGACTTTTTTGTATATTCAGAGGAACCTAGGCTGAATTTAATCAGATTACGATGGAGCTAAGTAAATAAAATACCCTCAAACCTGCAACCAATAAATGGCATCCTCATTTATTTATTTCACCCGTTAATAAACAAACTTACCTTCCTGAAGAGGTCTGTAAGTTTGAAGTAGAAAAGGCGGCAGGAGAGGCAGCCGAAGCGAAGGTAGGGGCTGAGGCCGGTTGGACTCGCCAGCAGCGAGTTGGAGTTCATTCTGGGACGCTCAAAGTTAGCCACCCATGCCTGATGGCAAAACCATTCACATTATTGGAAACGGGAAAGCAGGAGCCACATGGCCGGGAATTAGATCAAGAATCACATGACTGACCTTCCTCTCCAAATGCCTCTCTAGCCGAGTGAGAGCTTCAGTTTCTCCTCCCGGCCACACAGCTGAAGACAAACCTTCAGTGTCAAAACCTGCAGGAAGAAGAAGAGGAAGACATGTTTGGAATCTAAAAACAACCTGCAGTTTTCTAGCTTCAAAAAAGCAGATGATTTTTTTCACTTTGTTAAACTCACCCAATTCCTCCAGAGAGGGAACCCCGAACTTCTCATCATGATCTTCAGACAGCGGCGTTACGCATTTCCCCATGACCTCAGCTGTTATGGCCTCAGCTGGCAGCTCCACCGGATCCATACGACTAATCAGAGTCTGGAACCGCTTGTAGGTGAGGGGAGACTGACCGCCATTTAACTCTATGATCCTGAAAGCAACAAGACAAACACTTGTTCATTAATAATTAGTAATAAAACAACATTTTGGGGGTGGAGTGGGTATAAAATAACCTCACCTGTCTAGATCATAGAGTGTGTGGGAGATGCGAACTGTCACCTCCACTCCAGCCTCAGAGGCGAGCTTCTTAATGGCAGCATCTCGCTCCTTCCCAAAAGGCTCAGAGTCATACTCATAAGACAGCCGAGTGATGTTCCATTCCTGCAGACCAGAGGAAAATAAATGAGCAGGCGTCCCATCGAACAGCAGCAGGAAGCTCAGTGTGTCTCCTGGTGGATCAAATCACCTTGAAAAGTCTGGGAAAGACATCAGTGGGTTGGCCGCGGATCACAAACAGACGAGAGTTGAGCTTCCGGAGGCTGGAGTCCAAATCCTCCAAACTCTGCAGCAGGAACCTGCAGAAGAAACATCAAACACTGAGAAATATATATGGAGATCTCTAACATTCTGCTCTCTCTGCTTTTTCCTCCTAGTAGTTTGGCCTCGTCTGTTCCTGTTTGGCTGTTACACTACCCTGGAGAGAAATATCATCTGTACTGCTGCCATCAACATCTTTATTTATAGATGTTGGAGATTGGCCTGTTTTCCAGTGTAGTCCTGTTTCTCTGACTGTGACTGGCTGGATGTGCTCTCTTCATCCTCTGAAATGGGAGCTGGCACGGAGCTCGTCTGCCTGGCGGTGCTTCCGCCTTTTACAGTTGCTTCCTGTATCTCTGCTTCTGTCTCATGAAGGTTTTCCTTAGATAGAAAACTTTGAATCAAACTGACTGGATGATCTGGTGAACTGGAAAGTCCCTTGAGATTACATGTGTTGTGAATTGGCGCTATAGAAATAAACTGAATTGAGATCAACCAGTATGGACTCTAACGGGTTCGAAGACGACTGCAAAACAGATTTTTTTTTTGTACTGACATGAAGCAGTTAAGTAGCAGTTTTCTTTCTGAACCACTAGGTGGTGCTCTTCTACCAGCTTCCTGAATTCACCCCCTAATGATCAATCTGATGATGTGATGCAGGTTATTTTCCATAGTAGACTAAATCCATCTCCAAATAAAAAAAGATTCGTCCAATAATCTAAACAGATTGAAGGACTTTGAATATTTGTGATATTAGAGAGGAGTGTTTTCGACAAGGCTTTACAGCTCAAAATATTTCTAATTTAAACCGTCTTACTTTCCCTTTACCTGAAATTATTGTAGTGACCCAAATCTCAGCAACTACCTCCATCTGGGACCTAAAAGCCCGGCTTAAGAAGTGAGAAGAGTAATTTGGTCTAATGTGGCGAGTCATCAGAAACACTACACCGACATAATGTCAGTAAACCAGGACAAAAACTGGACCCTCGATGCTGAAGGAGCAATTGTCACTGATAGTAATGAGAAAAGGAGGAAACTGGTTGGGTCAGTACAAGAACACGAAAAGAGATCTCCTTTTATCTATACTTACTGTTACATTTATATTTGAAAATAAAATCGGGGCAAGCGGATTTATATTAATAAGGGGCAAGCTGGCTTTGTGTCTGTGCCAAATATCTCAGCTTAGCTACAACAGTTTTAATGTGATTTAAAAGAAAATCATAGTTTGGATTGCAGATGAAATCTGAATTCCTGCCTGACCGATCAGCACTTTATCCCAAGATCTTCACATATATTAAACATACAGATGGGCCTCTGTAGTATTCAGTACTTTAACATTGTACCTATTATTATTAATAAGGGAATGATTCCAGTTAGGGAATATTTTATCTATAATTTCTTACTTATTTGAAGCTTTTTTAACTTTAATGATCACCTAATGAAATATAAACAGTTGGAATTTATCAAAAAACCTTAAAAACAATTGATAAAAAACATTGCTCTACTGCCAAGCATGTTAATTATAACACATAAAATCGACATTTTAAATATTTAATCTGTTTGTTTTTAATTACACAAATTCTTACATGGAAAATATAAAAATCCCCAACAGATATTATTGCAACTAGTAAAATTTTAATTAACTTGCCAACTAAATAAATATTCCCCGAACAGGAATACAAATGAGTTCTAATAAAATACTTCACTCCTTTCTCTCTCATTTTATCCTCCATTACATGAATTTTGAGCTACAATCATAATGTTTGTATCTCCTCTGTAACTGACTCAATGCTGAATCATACGGATTCAAAAAGCTCCATCATCGCCGCCTGTGACGTCAAAAGAAAAATGCTCTGAAATATTCCTTTAAAAATAACCACTTAGCCATAAGCTGCTCTCTAGAGTACATTTCCTCTACATGAGTGCAGAAACCAGGAGCAGAACCCACCTACTCACAGGTAAACACAGACGGAGCAGCAGTAATGTGGAGCTTCCCTTTGTGTTGCTATTGGCACAGAGAGCAGTAGGTGGAGACATCCTGAGAAAATCCCACCTAAACGTCCCAATTAATCCATCTGTATGAAACCAGATGTTTTATGAAGGCTTCAGAGGTTTGTTAGAGAATTGACAGCGTCACAAAAAATTATAATATTAATAAAAAAACAGCAGATTTATCAGTTTTATTTTTAAGAAATGTAAGGAATCCTGCAAAAATAAAGCATTCAAAAAGATATTTCTGGACCAAAAGTGGATAATTAGAGGAGAATGTTTCTGATTTTCACATTTCTCTGTCAAACCAGTAGTATTTGGATAATGTCTAGCCAGTCTGATGCAATGAGTGGAAACACTGCTTCCTGACAGTTAAAGAACGACCTTCAGAGACGTTTCCATAGACAGCGTTGTGTCCTAATGGTTTTACCTCATCTAAGCATTACTGAGGTCCAAACAAAATGACCGCCCTATATTTTCTAAAACTTTCCAATACCTGGATTTGGAAACTTTTAGAGGAGGAGCGCTTCACCTTCTGCTTTGGCCACATTTGTTAAGATGTGGACTCTGGAGTCTTTCCCTATGAACGGTGATGAGTCACCGTTTGACGCCTCCACCCAAACGTTTACACACCGCTTCAGGGACAGTTTGGGATTACACGCTGTGCTCACAATCCATCTGATCCAAGGCCAGTGGAAGACAGCGAGGGCGACTCGGGCAGTCTGACCGCCGAAGGAAACGAGACCCTTTAAACTTCGGCTCAGTGGTCACTGCGAGGGACTCTGTAAACTAGCAGCTCTAGTTATGGTGTGAACATAAATTACAGACAGCCGTTGCTTTTTTGGGGATCAAAGTTAATTGTAATGCGGCATGACGGACAAAGCTGGGGTCTCCCGGTCTGGCAGGACAGCAGAAGTAGGTCGAAAAGGCTGTAGAGTGGAAGAGTTTGCCATTAACACAATGACCTACTTGTTCCCTGCTAGGAAATGCCAGCGGGTAGCGAAAGTTTTAGTCATTTAATCACTTTAGGAACTGACTTGACTCCGATTAAAGAAAAGCGTTGTAATTCAAAGATGTGTAAAATACCTGAGCTAGGTTGCCCCTTTTAAGCCTCTCAAAAGGTTTCCCCTGCCTGTACATGCTGAATATGAGGATAAAAGCTAAAAAGGTGGAGTGAATCGGGTAGCTGTGCATTCGCTCTGCGTCACAGCTGGCTGCTGTTGTGTAACACTGAAAGAAAAACAAGGATGCTCCTAACTGCTGCCCTAGCCCCACTCCCAAACCCTCCCTTCACTTTTCAGGAGATGACATTCAACTCTGAAAGGAATCAAAAACAGTCACTGTTTTGCATCAGATCCCACGTTTGGACCAAAGAGGGAGGCTAAACAACATGCACACAGACAGGCAGCTGGGACGGATATCTGAGGCTGAGACAGGCAAATATTTTGGTCTGAAGAAACAGTGATACTCTGTGTTTTGACTGGCGGAACCTCAGACGTCACACCGAAGGGTATCTCTGCAGGGACGTCAGTTTTTCTCTTTATGTCATGCTTTACCTTGGTAACAAATTCAACCTTCTTACGACTACAAACGTCAGCGGATGATGTTGGTATTTTTAAGTGAAGGGACAACTTGAAGAAGTACGTATTTATTCAGTAGGATAAGATGTGCTGGTTTCCAAATTTTTTCAACAAATGTCTCAAGGTGACATTTTTTGGCCGTTTCTCTTTGTAAAACAGCTCAAACCTGATGTAATGATTCAAACCTGATCTAAACTGTTCCACTGTGGCTCTAGCTCTATGTTTAGATTAGTTATCTTGATGGAAGGTGAACCTCTGCGTGAGCCTCAGCTCTTCTGGAACCTCGCTCAGTTATTTTCTTCAAAGTTAACCTTTTTAACCTTCGAAAAGTTAGCCTTCTGTTCCGTCTTTGCATTATAACTGGTTTGCGCCTGCAAGCAGAACTTCAAGCAAGTTATTTACTTCTTGCCACTCTTCCAGAAGGGCTAAATTTGGAGAATGCATTAGTATTTTTTTGTGTCTTAATGTTCTCAAGCAAACGTCCCCTGAAGGCATTGGTAGCACACATTTATCTAGGATTGTAAAAATGTAGTGGTCTGATTCTACAGGCATGATATTTGTTAAAAAGCATAAGAATCATGCATTACTCCACTTTCATTTCACTGATAAAAATCCCAAGTGATACGCGTGCGGCTGGCGGTACTGTTTCGTAGAAAATCAGAGTGAAAACTGTAATCATCTAGAGCATGAAGATCAGACTTCGAGCTGCTCAGACGGACGGAAGGACAAAAGGTTAACTTATTAATCAATGGTAATAAATACTTAATTGGATGTCAAACAAAGATCCGCTCAAATAGGAAAACTTCTAATTAATTAATCTAACTAATTTTCTTTCCACTTACTGCTGTGGGACATCCAGTGGTGGAACAAAAGAATGAAACCAAAAAAAAAAAACACAATAGTTTTTTATTTGGTATATTAAGAACTATTTGCAGCTCTGGAATCTTTAGAGCTAGAAGGGAAAAAATAGTTTTATCTTAATATGACTGAAGCTAAAAGTGTAACAACTTTATTTTTAAAACATCACTAAAATAAAACAGGAAATTGTTCCAAGGCACCTTTCAGTTGCAGTTTCTGTTCCATTGCATATCATAATTTATTCATCGTAAACTTATTTAGCATTTTCTCTTTGGTGTAGGGGCCATTGCATGTTCTAAAAAGAAGAGATGTTGGTGAAATGTGTTCAACGACGCAGTGTCAAATCTCCACTCTTTTTAGTCATTCTGCAGATCGCGGTTCTGCTGCTGACCCAGTTTGGACTTCAGACGTCTGACTGGTGGCCTTAAAATTCAACGCTACAATACTTTGGTGATGTACTCAAGGAAGACCAGACCCTTTACCTATAGATCACCCAAATCCATTGCTCTATGTGATATTTGCAAAGATATGTGGAGTTTTTTTCCTGCATAAATAAAACGGACAGCATCCCAGCTTTTAGGGTTTTGGGCATTTGTCCTGTCCTGAAGAAAACCAATATCCCAGCATGATGCTGCCACCGCCATGTATTACTAAGGGAATAGTGAGTCCCCAGACATGTGTAGGCGTATCTTTCTTTCACATTACCATTTTTGCTAGATAATGAAACCCGCTGTTTTACATGGTTTGCAGCAAACATGATGTCTTTCGCTTTCTATCAACAATGAATTTCTTCTTCCGATTATTCTGCGACGGCTGCTTTTGTTTAGTTTTATTGCTGCAGAATTTCCTTCAATGGTATCAAAGTAGGCAATAAATAAAAATGCTCCCCAGACTTTGTAGATTTTGATATTTGAAATGTTTGTTTTCACAACTGTGTGCCAGTTTATACTGGTATAACACAGGGGTCTGCAACCCTTCATATACAAAGAGCCATTGTGCCCCGAGTCCAGATCAGTAAAAGTAGTTTAGAACTTTAAAATGTTACATAATTTTTAATATATATATTTTTTTAAATATGTGGATATCTTTAACTAACAACCGTTTGTTTGTATTATTTAGCTTTCAAAATAAAAATTAAACTATTAACAAATATGAAGCATGGGTTCTCTTCTGTAGGATATCATTTTTCAGTATAAAAAAAATAAAATGCATAATTTCAGAACTAATAAAAAGAAAAAATAGTTTTAAAAACACTTCTGATGAGAAAATTTTATTAAAAAATAGAACAGTAGTTATTTCTTTATACCATTTTAAGCCAATATAGAGGTTCCAAAGGAATATTGAGATTTAAAAAGGAAGTTTGTCTGTTAAATCTGTCATTTCAAGTTGTTGAACATTTATTTAACATAATAAACTCGAGTGGTTTAAAGTGGTCACACAAAAAAAATGTTTTTAGGATGATAGTAAAAAACTATGGTTTCTTAATGATCTTTATTGATCAGTGATCAATTAGCTCCTAATCAGGCAATCAGTCCATTTGTGCTGCATCACATTATTGTAACTTTTCACCTAGAAAGCAATCATGCTTATTCCTGCTTTTAATTTCATTTTATGGTGTAATATATAATCTGATGTGTTCAATCTGCAGGCATCAATGGATATTTTAGGGTTTCCTCACCTCCACCTGTTGATCCCAACGTTGGAAGAGCCAGCGAACCAGGGGTCGAGGATGTAAACGCAGCGGACGGTATCAGCTCCCAGCAGAGAGTCTTTCAGCGACGGGTTGTCGTGGAGCCTCAAGCCCTTCCGGAACCAGTGGATCGTATTAATGACCATTACTCAACTGGACGAGTCCTTTAGTTATTCCTTTCGTGAGCAAGATCAGCAGTCTTTTCCCTCAAGGGGTTGGTTCGATTTCTATTTCAATTCGCAGACAGTTAAAAGTCCCAGGAGGAGAAAAAGGGGAAAAAAGTCACTTTAGATTAAAAAAAAATAACAGAGCCCGGGATATCAGGTTAGCCTTGCTCCAACAGAACTTTTTCCATAATGTGGAAGAATTGATAAACAGTTGATTTCTGAAGCATTTGGGCGCAGGAGAGGAAACTCTCCGCCAAAAATGTAACGGCGTGAACCCGGCGGACTTTAAGACCCAGCTCGCTAGAGCGCCCTGGCCTCGTTTGTTGTATAACTTGTTTTTTACTAATGGTGGAAAAAACCACAAAAACGACGAAAAAAGACAAAACCTCTCGACTCGTTTCGCACCTGAATGATATTAAACGACGGAATATTATCCGGCCTGTTGGTTTATAGTCACCTGGAGATGCTAACGACCAGAAGACACCGTCGCAGGATCTGTGAAAGCCCGTTATGTAAACACGAAACTATCAAATTCGTCGTCTTAATGGCGCCCAAACAAGCATCCAGCGGTTGAAATCCTTCCTCGTCGTCTTCCAGTTGGGTTCACAATCGGAAAGTAGACTTCTTAACGGGGATATATGGTGATATTTTCTTCCAGGAGCCCAGGGAAAGACCGCCGCTCCTCCTGCTTAGCCGCACCTACTGCCAGTCCCTCCGCCAACTAGCTACGTGTATGGGCCGCGAGCTGCGCTCTGATTGGTCCAAACTGATCCGTGCGTGTCACAGCGTGGTCACGTTTTTGCAGCATGCTCTACCTTACGAGGCCAGGCAGTCATCATGTGCAGAGGACTCTGTTGTTTTATTACACAGTTAAGAGCCCATATGGGGACTCGGTTTAGCTTGTTACCAGGTTACTGAGACCTGGTAAGGAAAGATGAATGAAGCAGGATCTAAAACAACTTTAATAGAAATAGATTATAAATAAATAGAAAAAAATACATACATTTATAGCGCAAAAAGTTTATAGAAATTGACTTAATGGTTATTGTTAGGGTAAACAATAAGATCTGCAAATAAATATTGAAACAAGCGGTCAGAAAAGGACTGGATCTGCACAGGAGGTCCTACGTGTGTTACGTGATGTTTACAGTTTAATTAGGTCATGCTTCTGGTTTACATGCATACATTATTTGACTCTATTAAATCAGTAGTTCAACATTTTTTTGTGTTTTGCTGAACAATATTCCTCTATAATTGCATTACTCAGCTGTTATTTAATCACAGCAAATGTTTTATCTCACTGTCGGTTTAAACTGGGTCCTCCTTGCTGTATACAGATTTGATAATTTTTTTTATTCCCAAAAATAGAGAAATGCGTCACACATATATAACAAAATGGCTTTAGAATTATGCAAGTCAAAACAGATTGCTGCATCGGCAGGATGTGGTAATAATCATTTCCACCGTTGGGGGGCAGTGTTTCACCCCTTTTTCAACTTTCTTTGAAACTTTCATTCATCGTTCATTCGTTCATTCATTCACCAGATTTAAATATTTAATTATTCGCACAGATTAAATAATTTTTTTTGTGATTTACTATTGATGTACGATTTATTTTATTAATATTTTAGCACCAATTCTGACGTTTTTCCTCTTTTTATCTGACATTAGGCAATTATTTGTAACTTCAATGTGCATATTAGGTTTTGTTGTTGTTTTAGATTTAATTTATTTCATTTACCAATATAATGTATATTTTATTCAAATGTCTTTATTTTTGTATTTTACATGAATATATTTATTTATCCATGTATTATGTATTTTATTCTTAGATTATATTGCTCATTTATCTTATTTAGTTTTTGTTGTTTTCCATATTATATATGGTCACGTTTTGCTGCATGCTCTCTGCAAAGCGGGGCAGGCAGTCAGTAGCAGCCTAATGGTTTTATTAGTTATGACATCTTATTGTGACTTATTTGTGCTCTACTGGTTTAATCTACTCAGCTCCAGAATACTAAGGTAGAAGAATCTAGGAGGTACAGTGATATACAAGATTTTTTTTTTTAAAACATGGAGCCAATTTATATTACAGCATACTCTAAAAAAATTAAATAACACATAGTTTATTGATGGCATTAGTACTTATTAAGAAATAGTTCACTGATGATCTTGATCATCATGTAATTGTCTGTGCAGATGTTTCTAATGTACAGCACTAACTTGATAACCTGACTCCGCCAGATGGATTTGAAACCTTGAAAGCTCGCGAGATCAGGATGGTCTCACGAGGCTACTAACTTGATGCATTTAAACATTATTTTCTGTCTCTAGTTTAGTTTGATCATTATATTTCTAGACTAAATAGCCTTATATTACTTTATACATAATTTGCTCAGATCCTTTTGGGGTTAAAACATTTTTTACAGTCTTTCATAGTAGGCTACTTTAAATCAGGTTTTAAGCATGCCAAATTCGCATTTTTCTCATTGACTCATTGCTATTTTCAGCAGATTGTTTCTTCCAGAAATAGAGAAATGTTTCACTTACGGACAAAATGCCATGTAATTCCGCATATACACCAGAGGGGGGCAGCAAAGTAAATCACACATGCATGCTGACTTCATTGGATTGGTGAAAATATATTCAAAATGGGTGTAGTGGAAAATATGGTTATGATTTCTCATATTTGACATACCTTATCACCTCAGTTGAAAGCTATAATATCACTCCTGTATTCATTTCTGCCTTTATCAACACCTTTATTTGATTTCTATGTTAATTTTAGCTTTAATGCTTTCTTCTGTGTGTCATTATTATTTTGTTTCCAACTTTCCAGATTTATATAAATTTATCAATTTCATAAATGTATCTAATCAATAAATCCTTCAATTAGCCAATCAATTGTATTGGTTTTCAATCATTCTTCCATTAACTAATTTCCAATTATTTTTTATTTTTATTTTTCTATTGATTTGTTCTATTTGACCAATTTTCTCTTATTGTTTAATTTCATTTTACTTTTGGACCCTTTTTCAATATTTCAACGTGATCTCCACATGGACAGGGAGGTTATAAGAAGAGAAATCCATAATTGTTCAGTAAAATGAAGAAAGTCACATTATATATTAAATCAGATTGCTCAGGTCAGCACTTTTGGTTATCGATGTGATAAGTTGTTGCTCAACAGAAATTTACCAATATATTTATTTATCTGTTAAAACACCATTCTGTTTTCTCAGTCTCAACTTTATTCCCAGACTTGACGGTTGACAGTTCAATATCAAAATTCAATTTATGATTTTTTTAAAGTATGCTATAATCCTCCTTTTGCCTTTTTTATGTAAAATGCTGAGATTCTCATTTTCTGGAATGCAATACAATCATCCTACCAGAAGAGGGCGGTGTATCACCATTTATTAATGGCAACTTTGCAACTTCTTTCCGTGAAAAAGTTTTTAGATATATTTAATAATTTTAATAAACCAGTGCGAATCGGTTACTTTTTTCACCTGACATATCGATTAATTTGTTTTCCATTTGTATTCCCTTAAAACTTTAGTTATTTATATGACTTTATTCATTTCTTCATTTATATGTTTCCCAAATCGTTGTCCTTTTATGTCCTTTTATTCTTTTTATGGGTTTTGGTTATCATCAGTTAATTATATTATCATTGATTATTACATTTACATGACTGAAATATTTTGTCTGTTTTTACTTTAGATTTTTTCTGTTTTTATTTTCCTCTTTTAATAGGGATTTTCAATTATTTACTCTTTATTTCTATATTCTTAAAAAGTCTAATGAAAATAGAAAATATTTATTGTATCTACTTAGTGCTACTCCTGATTGTTTAACTAGTAATACACTTATCAGTTTGGTCTCTTTGTTGCAGCAATTATATATATTTTTTCTTCCTATTTAGGCATGGTTTATTTATTAAAACATTTGTTTACAGCTTTGAGTATAACCTCAAACTACACAGCAAATATATTATTACAATGTCCAAAAAAGACAAAAGAATTAAAAGAATTGTTTAATTATTTATTTATGATTCAACTTGAAAAATGTGACTGCAGCATGACTAAGGTCTCTATGTGACGCACTCCTTCTGCTGGAAAACACATGATCTATCATCTTTGTTGGGAAAATCATGATAATTTTTCCAGTTACCAGGCAACCAAAGCCTAATATGTGAAGACGGACCTTGGAGCAGCAGCAGAGCACTCTGAGTTGTAGCTGACAGCTGCCCACCTCCGCCGCTCTCACCTGTGCAAAGTCAGGAAGATCTGCAGTGCATCAGGAGCTCTGTGGCATTTTGCTGCAGAAGACTGGAGGACGAACACAAGAGATTAAATAACTCTTCCTCTTTAATGTTTGCTTTCTGCCAAAGGAAAAATAATCATTAGAATGTTTCTATCACTCCTGCTATTGCTAAAAGCAGCTGTAAGACACTGAGATTATTTGTTTTCTATTTCTTCTTTTCCATTACTTTTCAAAGCATTGCATAACTCTCCCCATGTCACTGTGGTCTGTTTTTCCAGCTCTGGCATAATGCAGTGTCATGCAAAGAAGGCAGGAAAGTGCCTCTGGCATGGCAGGCAGCGGGGACAGATGGTGGATCCAGCTTGGATGCACGAGGAGAAGCCCCAACAGAACGGATGAATCATCATTCCACCAACTGCTCCTCTCTGCACGTCAGGATTTAGCTCACTCACTCTTTGTTTTCACCGAAAAAATGTTGTATTTACAGGCAATAAATGCTTCAGTGGGATTATTTTCTGTAAATGGAGCTCAATCTTAAATCTGTGGCAGGATGTTGGACTAATCACTCTCTAAAAGTCTTGGGGCAAAGTTCTTAAACTGTAAAATATTCATAGAGGAGTGGGACTGAATAGGTTTTAGAGAACATCTGCAAGTCTAATTTTATTAAAATGATAAGTAGCAGAGAGAAAAATGATGAAACAAACAGCTTATCAAACAAAACCTGGACTTTAGCAAATGTCAGGTTTTTCTCTGGTTGAAACTAACCGCATTAAAACCACATTATGTGCTTTGTTTTAAATTCAGACACTGTATTGTTAGGATGGTCTTCTTTAAGCTAAATGAGCTCAATACAGTAGAAAGTAAATCATAATTCCAGGTCTAATGTTTACCCCATTTATCCAACTTCCTCCTATTTCTCCATCTCTGCTGACAAAACTCCCACATCATGACTCTTCTACCACTATGTTTTACCCTTAAGATGGTGTGTTCACCATGATGTGCAGAACTGCAGGTTTTTATATTCATTCCCCTTTGACCCAAACACATTCTGTATGTTTTGATTATGACAAACTGCAAACAGGGCTTCATGATAGTTTCCCTACCAAAGGATTCTCCTGCCTCAGCTGCAGATATCCACATTTCTAAACTACCAAGGCCTTATTTACTGCCTCTTTATGTAACGCTATCCTTTGCTGACCTATCTGTTTAGGTGGACAGCAATGTCCTCACAGATTTTCTGTTTATTAAATTGTGCAGTTTGATGCGTTAAAAGACAGAGATATTGCTTTAGAACAGAATCCTGCTTAAATGTTCTACCTGGATATATACTGAAATTAAATAAAATCTGGTTTCTCTAATTACTGCAGCTTCTCTATGGTGCTGCAGTGGATTATAGATTATAGGGGGATGAAATCAAAAGCATGCCACAATGTTTTGTTTTTTAGATTTTCTGTTAAAAAATGTTGAAAATATTGTCTTGCTTGCACTTTAAATTAATTACAGATCTTTCTTGTATTATTTAAAAAAAAAAAAGGTTGTTGGTGTATAAATGTATAAAAGTTCAAATCTTTTTTGGCAATACAGTGTGAAATGCTTATTGTTTGATGATAATATTGGCAACTTTTAATTTGAAATGGGTGCAGGATTCTTTTCAAACATTTTAATGAAATATGATGGAAAGTTGCAGTGTAAGGAGCAAAACAAATGCACCATTGCATAAGAAGAGATGCATTGTGGCGTTTGTAAAAAAAAGACAAATAAAAAAATCCTCATAGTAAAGTCATGTGAAAATATTTCATCTAGTTTTCCCCTTGAAAGGGAATTTTTCCAACAAGACAACCTAATTTGCAAATGTTCCATGACTAAATCCTTTGCGCATCTTTTTTGCGTTGGTAAAAATCCAAACTAAACAATCAAATTAAACTAAATATATTGCTCTGTTCATTAATTACTTGCTGTCACATTTTAGGACAAGAGGTAATGTTGCTAATTAAGCTAAAGACTAATGCAAAGTCATGGAAACTTTCCAAAAGAGAGACTTCTGATAGTTCTTAACTTCTACTTTCCATAATAGATTTTCGATGCATAACATATTTACCGACAAACTGCCAAAAACTAAAGTAAATATGGGGTTGAGGAACCAATGGGTTGCTGATTTAAAGCCCTAGTCCATCAGTCTGAGTAATGGTGTCCTTTGGCATGACACCTGACCCCCCATATATGCAATTGGAGGTTAGAGGCTCTGTTGGTGCCTTCAATGGTTTAATTTGATGAAAAAATGCTGAGAACGTTTTTTTTGTTGTTGTTTAAAATGAAGTCAAATTGATTTATTAGAGGCAAACATGTGACATTAGCACAAGTTATAAGAATTTAGGTAAGGAAGGTGTACTTATTAAGAACGTCTCACAGACACAAAGTCACAACATAAATCACTCTAAATTTAAACTGTATATACAGCAAGTTTAAAGAAGAATAAATAATTACCTAAAAGCTGAGTAGGAATAAAAACTATTAAAATATTTTCAAATGTTCACAGAGCCAGTAAAACAAAACTTAAGAGCAGAGGACTGAGACGTTCTTTCCTTCTTAGTTTTAAGCCTTCTACTACAAAAAGTAAGAAGAATCTGAACATTGGATGGAAAGACTACAGGCAGCAGTGTGTCTGGTTTAAAGCCGACCCGAATAATCCAGATCAGGCACCCCCAAAGTCGTTGTCCTGCAGGTTTTAGAGGTTTCCCTGCTTTAGCACAGCTGATTATAATTATTGCATTAGACCAAAAGCCTGTTAATCAGCTTTCAATTAAAATCAGCTGTGCTGGAGCAAGGAGACCTCTAAAACCTGCAGGACAGTGGGCCTCAAGGACCGAGTGTGGGGATGCCTGATCCAGATCCTTTTAGAGCCCTGCAGGTGTAAAGAGGTTCTTCAAACCAAATTCCGAAATCGAATGGATTCAATGTAGAGTGTATTAGACTGGGGTAATGAGAAAATGTATTCTAGATTTAGCAAGAGGTCTGGTTGCTTCATTCTGAATCGCTTGCAGATGTATTATTGATAATCTGTCCAGACCGATAAGAAGAACATTACAGTTCCCCAAACGCAATGAGACAAATTATCCTCTGCAGATATGGAGTCCATGTCTGGTAAAAAAAAGAAAAATGAAAGTTTCCTAAATAAAAGAAACTGGATAAAGAAATAGATTTAAAGTGTGATACTAAGCTTTACATCACTGTTGAGCAAAACCGTTAATTCTAGATGAAGACATTAGCAAACTCTCTGACTCATTTGGGTTAGAAATTGCAGAAAATTGCTCGAGAGCCTCTAATTGGTTCAAGATAAACATCAGGTGAAGGTGGCAATCTATCCAGCTGGTGAGGTTTAAAAGAAACATAACACTGGATGCCATCTGCATGGAGGTGACAAGTATTAGAAAAAAATGCTGAATAATGCCAGCCAATGGAAAAAAATAACAATAGGCCTAGAAGTGAGCCTTGTGGAACCACAGCTTAAAAAGAATAGGGAAAGATTAGAAGCACTCCATCCTGATGCAGAAGAGCCTGAAATACCAGTTAGAGCCTTCAGATGTTAACCCTGTGGAGTGGTAGACAACATCAATGGTGGTTCTTAGATCAAAACAGATCATCTTCCTGCATCAGCAGTCATTAAAAGACCTTTGATCTACCGAAGCAGCCTCAGTGCTGCTTTACAAAGCCAGACTAAAAGGGCTGGATTTAAGTAAGCAACAGAACCCAGGTCTGGGATAAATGTCTACAATTGCCTAATAATTTGAATTCACCTGACATTAAGATTTGAAACCGAGTCACCTCAGCCATTTTAAAGTAAGTGTCAGGATTTGTTTGTGGAAGGTTGACCCAAAGCAGAGGTGAATTTTAGTAGATTTAATGAAGAGTACTGAAACAAAGATGAAAACACAAGTCAAAAACCAAGGAGTCATCAGGGGAAGAAGTGTAACCAGGAGGGAGGCTCAGAGAGACGAGTAGGAGGAAGACTGATGAGGTTAGACGACGACCCAGCAAAGAGGAACTGAACAGCAAGAGTATTTATCGGAGACAGAAACAAAGAGAGGGCTAATGAGCAAACTGGTAGCAGGTGTGCACAGAGCAAGAGAGGAAAAGAGCCAGGGAAAAAGGAGAAAAAAAGAGGGCAACAAATAGAAACCAAGAAAACTGAAAATAACCAGAAAAACACAACAAAATAAGAATTGAACCTTTTAAACTAGAAAACAAGGAGTAAAGCAAAACTGGATACTGAAAAGAAAAGAAAACAAAACCAAGACTGAAACAGTAACTAGGAATTAACCAGAGAACATAACAAAAATTAAAATTTAGCAATTTAAACTAGCATGGATAAACTTTGAATCTCAGGTAAAGTAAGAAACATATTAGATAAATCATCCAAAGAAACAAAGAATGTTTAATTGATGCCACGCATGGTTATCAATATCAAATTAAACTGAGTAATAGACATGAATCTGAGGACAGATATCTTACAAATATGGTAAAAGTAAACTAATGATAATGAAAGGGAAACATTTTTTCTGAAATTGTTAAAAATGTAGAAAATGTGTTTAATTGTCTTCTTAATTGATTGATTGATTGACTTTATTGATCTAACAGTGGAGAAATATACTCAATGTACAGTTTAATCACTTAAAAAAATACTTAATCACGTCTTAACAAAGAAAAAAGAAAATTGATGGTCAGTTTTAAAAACCCATTGAATGCATTTATGGAATGCAACATTATGTTAAACAAATAGAATGACAAAATGCAAATGGCTGAAATTGAATCACGTCCAAGTGCTTAACTGATTTGACCAAAAACAATTTGAATAAAATTATCATAAAAGTTAAATAGATATGTTTTTGTTTGTTGTTACATATATGCTTTTTTTTTAAATAAGCTTTTTAACTCTTTATTCTTCACTCTGGGATTTAATATGTTTAATTATGTTTTAGTAAATTAGATCATTCTGACTCAGAAATAATAACTCAAATCTAAACCAATAAACCGGCTGGAAATAGTAAATTTAATTTCATGCCTTTGATTCTAACGGCTGCAATTATTTTCTACTCTTTCACCTCAGACAGAAACTTCACTGCAGACGTGTCTCTGTTTTATTGCGGAGTCGTGCTTGAGCCGCACCAGGTGCTGAGACGCAGCAGGTAGCCCCTCTGCGTCACGCGCAGCGGAGCGCAGACGCTGATTGGCTCGTTTTGAGCTCCGCGGGGCCCCTGCGCTCCTCCCCTTCATTAGAGCCCAGCCTGCCTTACTGCTCTGCGCTTGTTGCGTGGTTGGTGCGCTCTCTTTGGATAGACACGCCGATTAGCTGGAGAAGTTGTGTCTGCAAGGACATCGAGGAGAGAAAAGTCTTACTTCTGGATTGTTTTTAAACATTATTATTAAATTAACCGGGAGGTAAAAAAATAGAAATAAAAAAAAGGCACCAGGACGAGTTTGAGGCGTTTAACTGAGAGAACCAAGGATACCCAACATTATGCGGTTCAATTATGGCAGGCAAGGATAAGACAGTCGTGAGGACGCTGGAGGATTTAACGCTTGATTCTGGTTATGGTGGAGCCGCGGACTCGGTCAGGTCGTCCAGCGTGTCGCTCTGCTGCTCCGACACGCACCAGTCCGTCTCGCATGGAGGCAACTATTGGCATCTGACGGAATCCATGCACAGCAGACACAACAGTTTGGACACGGTCAACACCGTCCTGGCGGAGGACACGGAGATCCTGGAGTGTGCGGGACACTGCGCCAAGCTGCCCGAGCTGGAGGAGGTGCCGTGGAGCCATGGAGAGGTGGAGGGCGCGCTAAGGAAGGACGAGGAGCTGATGGTGGGGAACCCGTCTCCGGAGGTTCTGGCGCGGCTGTCCGCCCTCATCAGCCGGGCGCTGGTGAGGGTAGCCCGGGAGGCGCAGCGTCTCAGTCTGCGTTACGCCAAGTGCACCAAGCATGAGATCCAGAGCGCCATCAAGGTGGTGCTCTCATGGACCATCTCTGTGAACTGCATCACGGCAGCTCTCAGCGCGCTCTCCCTCTACAACATGTCCAGCGCCGGAGACAAGTTCAGCCGCGGCAAATCTGCGCGCTGCGGCTTGGTGTTCTCCGTGGGCAGGTTCTTCAGGTGGATGGTGGACAGCCGGGTGGCGCTGAGGATACACGAGCACGCCGCCATTTACCTGTGCGCCTGCATGGAGAGCCTGTTCAGGGAGGTGTTCAGCCGCGTCCTGCGCAGCGCGCTGGTGGAGAGGGACAACGGGATCCCCAAGATCACGCTGGAGTCCATGGAGCAAGCCATCAGCAACGACTCGGAGATCTGGGGTCTGCTGCAGCCCTACCAGCACCTCATCTGCGGCAAGAATTCAAGCGGTAATAAAGCACAAGAAAACAAAACATACAAATAAAATAAAAAATGCAGTGGTTGTATGGATGGCAACCTCCATGAGCTACAAGTTTAACACAAACAAAAAGGAAACTCTCATATACCATTGATTCATAACACTTAGTGATACATTTGTATCAGTTTTCTATTAATATCTTATAAGTAATGAAAAAAACTCAAATATTAATGAAGTACTGCTGAAACATAATTTAAAATTTTATAATAAACAGTTAAGGAGAGAAAAAAAAGGGTGATTGGTCCTTTCAGATTGATAAATAAATGTATTTAGTTGTGAAAATCAAGTAGCCGATAAAAGAAGAGGAGAGGCACATAATTTATGCTGATTAGAGTTTTAGTGCAAAGTTTCTACAGTAAGGGATAATTTGGGGAGCTGTGCAGGGGCGGAAGCGGGGGATAAGCCTTGGTGGCCATGGCCACCATCGGCTAATCTTTGGCTACCCCAGCCAGATGGTTGCCAGGTGGTTTTCTGTTTCCACGGGGACCGAATACACCAGCAGAGTACACCTCAGAGTAGTTTTTAACTCCCTCTGAGTGAGCAGTCTGGACACCCACCATTGGAGCCTTTTCACCATCTACTGAATCTTCAAAGCACATTGACTCTACAATACAATGTCATACTTTTTATTTGGCCAACAATATCAATCTGGGTGTAATAAATTTGTTTCACAATTAAAACTAAATTTTAAACAAGTGTAGGTAATTTCTTTTTGGAGGATTCTTGTAGTTTTTAAACCCGCAGGTATTTATACTGCTTATATTACAGCTGTAATTACGCCTCCAGATAAGAAATGGTGCTGCCTTTTAGAAATTTTAAACCCCATAAACTTCAACCTGCCTCAAAAACAAGTTCTTCCTTTCGCGGGTATCAGAGCCCTGCAGGAAGAACAGTCAAATTGGTATTTATGGTGGGAAAAAGATCAAACAAACTCCATCTTGAGTCACCGTGAGCCATTGTGTTTCCCATGCTGTTGCGTGGCAGGCATGAATGTTAATGAGTGTTTTTGACAGCCTGAGTCGGTGTGTATCGGCTGATGATTTAGCAGAAGCAGGATTTTTGTGTTGTGTATTGTGTGCTGGCCTTGTTGATGATGCTGCTGCGTCACTCCAGAAGGTGTAAGCCATCAGTGAGTGTGGGCTGGCCTTTTCTATGTATGTTTCTTCACCAAAAGCACTGAATGAGTGAGATTATAAAGCAGAAGGGACTCGCAGCTGTCAAACTGGAAAATGCAATATTGAACAAAAAAAAGTCAGATTGCATCGATGGATTTGGTGAAAGAGGTTAAACGTTTCTTGAACTCATGCATTTGGGCATAATTTTGTGAATAACAGCTTCAGAAAGAGAGAGTGTTAGAGGCAATCTAACGTTAGATTGATCTGAAATGGGTTTGGTATTGATATGATGTGACCTGAAACCAAATATCATGAACGCTGACTTCTGTACAGTAAATCATCTAACTGCAAGGATTAAACCATGAAAATGAATTAATCCTGAAGCTGAAGGTACTTGCAGACCTTTATTTGTTGAATCCTCATGTAGTCAGTTTGATATAACTCACTCTTTGAGTTTATTTCAATTTATAGTGTATATAGCATCAATTCACAAGAATTATAATCCCAAGGCAACATCAATGATTGATATCCCAATGCAGTTCCGTCTGTATTAACACCCTTTCCAAATCTAACTGCCATCTTTAAACCATGATTATTTACTATTTACTTTTCAAATGTATCCTTAATATAATAAAAGTCTAATTTAGTTGCTAACTTAAGGCTTTTTATATAAACAACAAAAACTAAGCTTATAGATGCCTCTATATTTATTTCCAAAGTTGGGGTCATTGATCAGAGATCAAATAGAGATATTAAAGTCGTAGGGAAGCGACCGTTCCAACCGTTGCAGTTCTGAATTCTCCTGAGTGGTGCGCGACTTTACACGAGTGAATAAAGTGAATGTGATTGGTCGATTATCAAGGGGGCGGGATTGTTGTGGCAGAAGGTTCGTAAACAAGTTTGCTTGTGGCCGGTTTGTTGGAAGCATCTTACTAACCAGTTAGCAACTTAGTGCTAGTAGCTTCCCAATGGGAAATTTCATTGGGACCAAGTAGCACTAAATTGGTGAGTTAGAAACGACACCGTCAAGGAACGCTATGGACAGCGGAAACATGCAAGAGAATGAGAGTTTTGTGTCGGAGGTCGTGGATGAGTCTCCTCCGTCATTTTCATTTCATTTAGAGGTGGAAAGCGGGGATGAAGATGTTGTGGAAGAGGACGCCAGGGCAGCAGAAGTTTGGTTTGGTGTAGAAGGCTTCCAGCCGTACATGTTTGAGCCCTTGCCTCGCAACACTACCAGTTCTGTTAGCTCTACGCCTGCTGAAGACACAGACGTCCATCCCCGTGAACACTGGGACGGAACTCAATGGGAAAGGAAATTATTCTTATTTCTTATATCAAACGTTGCGTATATTAGCTGCGACATATGAATCAAGATGCTATGACCGAAAAAAAGTGAATGACAGATGACCGTTGATATATGATTTACCATCTTAGATGTTCAGGCTGACGTATAACTAACTGGCCTGCATAAGATAACGAAAAACCCCTACAGATTTTAAGACACGCTTTAAAAAAAAAAAAATGTACTTACTTTACTTTACTTACAAAAATATAAAGAAAATTGACAAAACCAGCTACTTTGGTTGTTGATACTCTTTTTAATTTAGTGAATTGATTTTGTAGAAATATATTTATACCTGACTGATAATTCAGGTCATTAGTTGACTCAGATTAAAAGATGGGGTATCTATCTGTCTGTCTGACTCTGACTTTGTTGGAATCCTTCAACCTGAGTCAGGATGTGACAACAGGAGGGAAAACTCCCTTCAACATTGAGAAATCTTTGAAAGAACAGAGCTAATCAGTGCGTCCTTTTTATGTGTGAAATGAAATAGCAGTGACCCCACTGATGGCTTATTCCAGGAAAGAAATAAAGTGAAACACAGAAACAATGAGCTTGGTCTACTTTCTACGGGAAAAGAAAAAAGGGAGAACGCAGAGTAATTGGCAGCAGCAACTGTTGTAAAAGGCTTTGTTCAGAGAGGCACAGCTAAATACTATTTCATAGAAAACAAGATAATGAATGCATTCATTCAGGAGGAGCAAAATACAAAAACACTGACCCAGGAATACTACCTGTTGGAGACAAAAGCATAGTAGTTTTCTTACTTTCCAGCATTGACTTCCTCCAGGAAAAAAATCCCAGCTGAACTATATGTTCAATAGGACAAAAGGGTAAACAGGAACTGATTTGTTTTTATATGTTTGCTTGGATGATTTGTGTTAAAGCTACAGTGTGTAATAATTACAGGCATATAAATTCAGAAATTTAATATATTATACATAACTATGTTATTTATCATCACCTATGAGCTCAGCCTTTTAACCATAACATTTGCGTTGCCTTAGAATTCGTTATTTATAATTACATAGGAGCGGGTCTCGCAGCCATGGAGGCTGACATCTTTGCGCTACGGCAGCGCAGAGGCAACAAACTAGCGATTGCGAGATCTCCCATTACGCTCGAAAATAACTACGGCAAGTTGAGAGAGATGAACTGAGACGGTACTGAACAGTAGATGGCAGTATTATGCCTGAGAAGCGTTTAGTCTGCCTGAAACCAAAGAAGAAGAAGAAGCAGGTATACTGCGCCTCGGTAACAAGAAAGGTGAACAAGGCGGCAGGCGTGAGTGACTTTGCAAACTGTTTGGCACTGTGTGGCCAAACATCAGACGAATGGAGGATCATGCCTACTCTGTATCACAACGAAAAGCGGCGGACACCGAACCCCCGTCATCTAAGAAGCGGAAACACGACGAGAATAAACGCAAGAGTGACAAGAAACGACAAAAAACACGGATCAACATTGGCACGGCATTTACACGATGGAAGTCACTGATGGAGGAAAAAGGTTTTCAAAGTGACGCTCAAGTTGCCAGTTTTCTCTTGGACAGGTAATTAATCCTATACACACAATTGTCTAATATCACTGCAGTTTTTGGAGTACAGGATGCTCAGACCTGTCTAAAACAATAACATGCTGCGTGATGATGCTGTTACTCTCCAGTATACTTATTCAGCAACGTCCCTGACGTTTCACAGGTAATGATTCAGTAATTTTCTGTAAAATAATTTTCTGGATATATACCTCGGTTACTTCTCTCCGGCTCCTTTGGAGATCTTCAAGCCTTTCCTCCTCTGCTCTCACCCCGCTGGCTCCCCTCTCTCGCCTGGCCCCAGCTGCACGCTCACCCCGGCCTCTCTGCCCTCTTCCTTTCCCTCTTCCTTGCCTTGTAACCCCCGTGCCACAAACAAGACTTGGACTCTGTAAACGGGGAATATATATTCTTCCAGCGAACACAATCTCGCTGTTAAACTAATGACTACAATTACTTCGTCTGTTTATATCACCATGCAAAGCAGCTCACCAAAACGTCACAACGACGTAGAAAAAATAACGGGTATATTTATTATCTTAAGTCTACATGAAATCTATACCCTACACAGACTAATGAAATACTATCTGTAAAATTATCTATGTAAACAAACCTCATCACTTGAGAAGGTAGGTGATGCGGACGTCGTGGAAGACATTTTGTCCCGTAACGCTCGCCGTACTGTTGGGGGGGAGAAGCGGTGGGGGGGAGACGTTCATGTTGCTGCAGTCTGCAGTCTGACCGCTAGATGTCGCTGAAAATTACACACTGTAGCTTTAAATGAGCAGACGCTGTGCTAAAGGTTAGTAATTAGTTTTTTGCTTCAAGCAGCCGTACTCCGTTGCAGTGTTTGACGGTGGCCATAATTAAAAGATCAAGATTTCGTACTTGTTTCTGTTTTTTGGTCTAATTTGTTTTGCTTACTTCCTATTTGTCATCTGAGACCATTATAAGAGATTAGAAGACAGCTGGACTTT